TTCCAAATAGGTGGATCCATGGACGGGGAGAATAAAACGACGTGGTGATGTGGGTGCTTTCAGCATGTCCCCATCAAAAAAAGAAAGTATCCCTGGCATAAGCAGGCAAAACCACCTTGAGAGCAGCTAACAACGATGCCGTGGCGGTGAACAGCTCTAGTCCTTGGTAGCTTGCTCTCTGCGTAGACGTTTGTTGCCAGCATTGCCACTTTGCTTTTCACAGGTGAAGGTGCTTTCGCGATCATTTTCATCCATGACAGAAAGAGAATTTGTGGTCTGGAACACACTTATTCTTCACAGCCATCAGCGTCATTGTCATAGTAATGACGTTAGCACAAATGAGCGCTCAGAAAAGAGCGCACCGCCGAATTCTCGCGACAGTGACGATACCAAGTGCCACAGAGACGCCTCAAGGTCAACGCTAAAGAAGAAAACAAGCATCCAGACTCCCCGGGCCCGCCATCTCTCTCCCTCGAAAGCGTAGTTTTGCCGACCAACCTCCACACATCAGCCCCCGAGCAAGCCCTGGAAAGATCTGGAAGGAAAGGGGCGTGTTGATGTAGAGTTGCGTCACGAGTCGTGGACGGTCCTCGCTCTTTTCCAAGCCTTGGCTGTGCATAGCGCCGACAAAATGATTAAAAGTTTCTGGAATCTAGCACGAAAGATATTTAAGCGAGCAGCGGAGAAGGGAGATTAGGAGATGAAGACAATTTACACCAGTGTGCGTATGCAGGAGATGAAGGAATTTTAGCGCAAGTGAGCGTAGGGTCATTTCGCCGCGTTGGCGAAAACTTTTGTCGCCAGTGACAAAGCAGGTGATGAAGAGGGTTTCCACCTGAAGGTCAAGGCTGGTGCTACCAGCATAAGAATAGTGTGAGTCTACCCCAGAGAGCGAGGAGGCGTCCTGCAGTCCCAACGCGTGGGAAGCCAGCGTGTTACCGGCGAATAAGTTTGGTGCTTGGATAGCGGCCAAATCAAGACGCAAGGTTTCATGGAAGAGAAACTTCGGGGGGCAGTGAATCGACAACATCGCTGGACTTAGAGTGAGTGATTCTTGGAAGAGTATCATTCAGGCTTTGTTCCAAGGACTTTGGACTGAATAAGTTTTCGAACTCTTTAGTCTTTATATATCATAGTTGTTTGATGCATGTGTTTGCATTGTAGCAGGTATTGTTGTTTGTGTCCGTTGTTTCGAGTGTAGCTGATTGTATTGGGTAGTGCATTGTTTGATTGGTGAAATATTGCACTGAACTACTGCCGAGTGTGCATGTTTGTGTATCGTTTGATCTGCCATACTTAAGAATATAATTTTGTTTTCTTTATCAATTCTCGGCTTTGACTCGTTCGTTGGACCACAGCCGGCATCCGCTAGCGCGCTAAATAGGACCTCTTTTAAATTATCCGCGCTTTTGAGGTGCAGTTCGGGGGGCCAATACTTTGGCGCTTGGAGTTAGCCCGGCGGTCTCCTCCCTAAGTAACAGGACCTGTGACAGACGTACAATAAGTACCTTATATGTGCTGTGCCGAACAACACACAACAAAAAAAACCTATACAGTGACACTCCGCTACAACGAATGCCGCTTCAACGAAATTTCTGCTACAATGAAAAATTCGTGATTCCCCATCAGCAGTCCATAGGAGTCAATGCATAAATATTGTCGCCACAACGAACACTTTTTCTTCGATCGCCCAGCTTCAAATAAATTTTAAAATGCAATTCCAGGCTCAGATACATATTGCTATGTAGTAAACCCAATCTTTAACATTTAAATACATTTTCAGAGCTTCAAAATGCGTCAACGAAGTCTAAAACACGCGTCGGCACCACCAAAAACTGCCGCTATACCAACGCTGTTTAACAAGCATAGGCACCGCCATTGCTCGATGGGGATGGCAATAAGACTGCCCTGCTTTTGTTTTGCCACTGGCTTGCTTTTGAGCCGCAGACGCACCGAAGCTGAAGCTCAGTCGCTCAGTTCATGGTTTCCTTCTCGCAGCTTCTGGGTTCAACCGCGGCACGATGCCTTTTCTCATTCTGATGCTTATCATTAAGTTCGTGATTGGCCAGTAAGGTAATCAGAGCTGCCGTTCGTCCGCATTATCAACAAAATCAGCTAGCCGCAAGTAATGGATGATAAGAATGGCATAGAATAATGCAAAAGTCGCCGCTCCACGATAGCCAGCCTCCATCTCGGCATTGTCGGATACTTCTGATGGCAGACAGCTGCATGTGTCAACGTGTTATTGCAACTGTTTGGTTCCTTCTCAAAAGCGGTTTTAGGCGTTGTTTCAGCATGCTTTTTACCATGGCCTTGCTATGCATGGATGAGAATCACGTCGTGACGCTGTTGGGAAAGAATAGGAAGCAGCGAACATTTTTAAAATTTTGAGAATAAACGTTCCTTTGTTTGACTAGCTCAGCTCAGATATATTTTTTTCGAATACACTAGAACAAAATTTTTGCTTCAACGAAATTTTTCCCGCACTCTATCAGTTTCGTTGTATCGAGGTTCGACTGTATCCTAATTATGCTATGCCCCTAAACAAAAATCATATTTTTATATATTTATGGAGGTGAAACCAATGTCTAGAAATAACTCAAACAAATATAAGTGAACCTCAAAAGGCTTCATGTGTTGCGCTCCACAGGGAATAAACGCTTCCTATATGGATTTTCATTCATGAAGACAGCCTTTTTTAATGCCTGAAGAAAAGAATATTCAAGAAGATGACAGGAAATCAGGATATACACACACACGGATGATGGGCCGAAAATCTCTGGTGCTCTGTTTTGTGCTCTTTTATTTTTTTCTTGCTCCAGTTTGTCCCTTTCAGATTAAAAGCACAATGCATGACGAGGACCGGCACGAAAGAAAGGCTGAAATAAAACGCCAACATAGTCACGCTTGTGTTTCTGAAAATTCAGTAAATGTCTGAAAGTGTTGTGCATGACTTCCCATCAAGAATTGCTACTGAAGGACAATTGGGCTGAAAATAAAGTTCTTTCTCTAAATAAACTTGTTTCTCTCTCTGTGGCTGATGAAGCAGACATTCGCATTAACGATCCGTCATATTGCTTCACTTATATCGCAGCACTTTCGCAAAATTAACGCTTGGCTGGACTTCTGACTCTTCTGAATTGACGCTTTGCCAGGCAGAATGAATTGTATAGATTGTATACACCAGAACACAGGGAGCTCAGTGCTTGCTGCCATATTGAAAATCGTGTGGATCTATCTGTTGCAAGCGCGGCGAAGCAATGCTCTGAACTGCCACGCAAGCAGACGCTCTGCAAATCAAATGTGAAACTTCACAACCCGAGTCCGGCTGTAAGCATGTTTCACGCTATACCTGTGCTGGAATTTTATGCTGATTTCGTGTTAAAGGTCAAGGACACCTTCCTCGACAGTCCTGAATGTCTACAGCACGTGCATTGCAGAATACGGAAGCAGCTTTATGAGGTACGTACTATTGGGATTGAATAAAAAGCAAACAGCGGAAAGCTTTGCTTTCGACTCGGTCTAACTGCAGCGTGCCTTGGCTGAGACACCGCAGAATTTGTGGTGTGGGCCGGGGTCGACATAGCGCTAGAATCTGGCTTCAACTCACGCTCATGCACCGCATGTGTACCGATTTCCAGTCTGCCGGGCACTCGGAACACATAGGTAGTGCATAAGTGCTAGCCAGAATAAGATTTTAAAATGCTGCGGTGACGCCAGCTGAAAGCATGTGTAGATTCCCCTAACTACAGACAAGGCATCTCGCAGTTTGACCGAGTCTAAAGTCGTGCTTTCCGCGCCATTCACGCATCTCGATAGTGGGCTTTTACAGTTGTACTAAACATGCGCTGTGCGTGCATTCACGCGTGAGTCGTAATATGTACATCCTATTATTGACATGCGGCCTGCGAAAGAGTACGGCAATAGCTTGCGGCATACTGTACGCAGATCGCTGCCGTAAAACGAAACAGCTGGAGCCGCGCTTGAATTAACACAATAGGTATACTTACTCGTACACGTCACTGGGCTCGTAGTTTTTCGTGCTGATTGTGATCGTATGCTAAGGTGGCGGAGCTCAGCGTTTTTCGTTGTAGACGGAAATCTGTGAAATCGCATAACACCGCACCGGCACGATTCCCGCGATGTGCTGTGTACTTCACAGGCAGTGCTCAGCAATCTCTTCTTCTTGGGCTGGTTGTTGTCACATCAGATGACAGCGCAGTGGTACCCCGATGAAATTTTATAAGCGGGTGCAATGTCAAGAGACGCTTTCTCACATTTAGCCACTGCATGCCATGCTAGCGAGGTGCGCCTTGGCAGTTCCAAGCAAATTATGGCGTCTCTGGGAGCTAGAGTGCACCGCGAAAGGCACCTGGGTGCGAGATAAGCGTCTCTCGTCTATAGAAAGGTCCCCGAAACAGTGGAATTGGTCTGGCGCAACTTCCATTTTCCTTCCCATTCATCACAGTTGCAAACGATGGAGAAGAAAAACTTGTGCAGAATGTCACACTCTCAACAACACTTGGTGACACTTATATCACTCGGGACCATAATTATTGAAAGGCCCCAGTGTCAGGGCCCTACATTTTCTTGACGCTGACTGACAACTCTCTAATACTGGTTGTAAATTGACAATTGCGAAGTAATCATTGTGAACAGAAGCCCCCGTCATGGTGGTCTCGACTGCTGAGCCACACTTTGCGGGATCTAAAGCGGCGGCTGCATTTTTAATGGAGGGGAAAGTGCTTGAGGTGCTTTGATTCGGGTGCACGTTAAAGACACGCATGCAACCGAGTTTGGCGGAACCCTCTACTACGGCGTCTCTCGCAATTCTAGGACACTGAACTTCAACAATTATTATTTTTAGGAGCATGTCTCAGCTTACATACTAGAAGTCTGGTCATAAGATTACAATATCACTGTACGATGATTTATGCTGGAAAAAATGAATTGGGCCGAACTAGAGTTTCTGTTTTGCGTGAGATGAGACCAAACCTTACCTGGCACGTAAAGTTGAGGCTTGGCATCCTTGAGCACTGGGCCTCCCTGGGAGTGATTGCTCTCTCCGACGGGCAGCATGCAGGGATCCTGCACAACGCATAGCATACTCAGTCAGGCGGATCAATTAGTGCTACCTCGCCACTATTTGGTGGCTGGCAAGTCTAACTGATGAGTGCGCTTCTTGGTATAGCATGATAAGTGATGGTAGCACAGGATAAGGACAGAATTGTGTCAATTGTCTTTTGTTCTTGTCCTTACTATCAATTATCATGCCAAGTCTACGTTCTTGGTAAGACGCCTCATCGAACACACTCCATAGCAAGCAGCCAGTGTATTGAGAAAGCAGTGAATGAGAAATATAACTCCTTTCCATTTTAGCTAGGCGCACTACACTTCTCAAATTGCAATCGCTTCAAGTGTCCCTGTGCTTATTTAGATCAGAACAGAATATTACGTGACGGCAGAGCGGTACACTTGAAGGAAAAGCCCCGTACCCTGGTGGCCGAAGAAGAGATGGCTGCGACTGCTGGCAGGCCGCCGGGCCCCGGTGTGACTCGAGCTGCCTTGGTGGCATCCTGCAGCACTGACGAGGCCGGCGGCGGCGCACCACCTGCCCCGGCCTCAGTCACGTGCAGCCGGTTGCGCAGGGTCACAAGCTCGCAGCTGAGGCTCTTGAGCCTCTGCTGCAGGTGCACCGCCTCATTGGACGAGGACGCATCTGCGAGAGAACAAATGCATTTGTCACGAAACCTGGATGTTTGTTTTTGTTAAGCAAACTAAGGTGCATTGCTAGGGCAGTTGCTAGCATCTACATTCAATCTATTTTTGCCAATTCAACGTTAGTCTAGAAACTTAGTACTACACTAGGCACCCAATTTCAAGACAAACTGGGCATGCACGTGCTTACACTCTTGAACCTTATTTCACACGTGCTAAAAAGGAACTTTTTCTTCACTTAGATCGTAAGAAATTGTAACGTATCACCTCTTTGAAGATTATATAGTAAAAGCTCATTAATGCTACACCCGTTAATTCGGAAATTCGGATAATTTGGACGGCTCTACTGGTCCCGGCCAAAGTGCATGTTAATCTATGGGACCAAACCTTCGTTATTTCGTCGGAATTCGGCTCTGCACCGTTTGATTCGGACAAATGCTGACGGCTGCTGCTACACAAAAGTGTGATAAAGCAGCGCTGGCACCACTGGAGTGAAACCGAAACCTGAGTGGCATCGCCATCATCATCAACTAGTGGGGGCGATCGCAGCGCCTCCGACGCCATTTTCCCTTGTGTTGTCGTGTCGGAACCATCTCTTCTTGCGGAGTTCTCTTTTTCTTCCATTGTGACCGTATTTGCATGCCACCACCATCGTGTGCTACAGTGATGGCAACGCTGAAAAAGGGGCAGAACTACAATGCGAAGAATTTGGCGACTAAAGTGGAAATTTTGGAAGCACTGAAGAACGGCAAACCGCGACAGCAGGTTATGACCAAGTACAACGTGAATTGACTAGAGTATAAAGTTGGGCATGTTGGTAAGACATAGTTGATCGACGTAGCGCGTTTAGAAACAAATGCTTAATGGTGCATTAATGACCGGCTCCGCGAACACGCTTGCAACGTAAGAAATGGTCGAGATGGCTTTCGGCACTACATTGCAGCACGTGTGGCTGCAAACCACTTTTTCATGGTACGATAATCATAGGAAAAAACAGAAATAAAGTGACAAGGGAGATTATTGAAGCAGAAAAGATTAATAGATTAGGGCTGAACTGCGTCAGCACTCCTTCTCTCGGTCTTTGTGAAAAAGAATTGACGTTTTTGAGATCATAAGTTTTTAGCGCATGGCAATAGAGGGTTTTTCATCTGTTTAAAGCGCTCCCCTCTGTCCCTTCCCTTGTCCTATGTTTCTAAACGTGCTACGTCGATCAACTACAATGTGAAGCGGAGCATGTTGGGAACGTACGTGAAAAATGAACAACAGATTCGACAAGCCTTCGAAAGCGAGCAGTTTTATGCCTCTAGAAAGCGGTTGCGAACCGCAGATCATCTCCAGCTCGAAGAAGCTTTGCTCCGGTGGATTAGTACTGACTGTCGCAACGCGCATCTGCCTTTGAGCGGACCTCTCATCATGGCGCAAGGTGAGAAGTACGCTGCAATGATGAACGTTGAATCGTTCAAAGCATCAGAAGGGTGATTTGCGAGGTTTCGAGAGAGACACAAACTTGTCTTCAGGAGTGTGTACGGCGAAAAGGCCAGTGTTGACGAAAGCGTGACCACCGAGTGGAGAAATGTGAAGCTGCTGGAGCACATCGCCGCATATGAACCACGTGACGTGTTCAATGCAGATTAAACTGCTCTATTTTTCAGAGCTCTGCCCAACAAGACAGTGACTTTCAAAGGGGATGCGTGCATTGGTGGCATGAAGTGCAAGCAAAGGATAACTGTGCTTTTTGCCGCCAATATGACTGGCACGGAGCGCTTGCCACTACTTGTCGTCGGGAAGGCACTTAAGCCACGTTGTTTTAAGAATGTCAAAAGCCTTCCTGTCGAGTACACAGCAAACAGGAAGGCATGGATGGCATCAGACATTTTTCGCGGCTGGCTGCAGCAGTTGGACCGGCACTTCACGTCGAACGACCGCAAGATAATTATGGTTGTTGACAACTACAGTGCCTATAACTGTACAGTCGAACTGAAGAGCATCAAAGTAGTTTTTTTGCCGCCCAACACTACGTCTGCTCTTCAGCCGATGGACCAGGGTATCATTCACTACGTGAAGTCGAAGTACCGCAAGCACCTGCTAGAGCGAATGATGCTATGCTCAGAAGCTGAAAAGTTGTATCAAGTGGACTTACTCGGCGCAGTGCACATCATCGCCCACGTGTGGAAAAACACTCCACCGCAAGTCATCGCCAACTGTTTTCGGCACAGCGGTTTTGTGAGGGCCGAGCATGCAGCAGTAGCTGACGATGGCATCGAGGAGGTGTCAGCCGAGTCCACCGACGATGACTGCCCGGCTTTCGATGCTGTCCTTCCCACAGATGTGACTTTTTAGGACTACATCGCGATTGATCATGGTGTCACCACGAGTGGTCTCCTGACCGATCAAGAGATTATTAATGATGTCACGGGTGCCCATGAAGACCACGATTCTGACGAAGAATCATGCAAGGAGATACAGCCGCGACCTCATCGCACCTCACGAGAAGTCTCAGAGGCGCTGTTAATATTAGAGGACGCTTGCCTGAACACTCCCGACTGCTTGCGTGCTGTTGGCCATTTGGAACAGTTAAGAAAAATTGTGATGTCAGCCAGAATCTGCCCGAAAACGCAGACGACAATTACAAAATACTTCAACGAATAAAGGTATGCTTCTGCAGCTTGATTTTAAATGTTGTTTTCCCTGTTCATTCGTTAATTCGGCATTCGGTTAATTCTGACAGTTTTTCTGGTCCCGTGAAAGCCAAATAAACGAGCTTTTACTGTAATAATAATCTTGAATTTGATAACTGCTTGCCGCAAATCGTTTGTTGATTTACTGACTGGTTGCGGTGACGTACAGGAAAACCCGGGTTCTAACACCGAAGAAATTCTCAAGTCATTAACATGTTAATCGATGAAATTAAAATGTCCATCGGTACTAGTAGCGTGACTGAGTTGAACAAAACAACGTAAAAGCTGGCATCAATTTAAACGAAACTGGACATCCTTTCGTCCAGTTTGTGCAATGACAGATCTAGAGTTGATGACCTGCAGAAAACAATTGATTTTTTTATTTATTTATTTATTTCCAATACTGCTGCTCTCATCTGAGAGCGTAGCAGGAGGGCAATACAAAAAGTGCAATATATAAAACATAAAACATTTCAGGAACAATGAAATATCTAATAAATGTAAAAAAAAGAGGTTACAATAAATATAAGGCAAGAACAAATAGCGTTTACCAAAATATATACAATGAATACATTTATCACACTATTGAGACAGGCCTGTAGTTATATCCTCTCTGTGTCGAGGATTAGTTGCTTGTGCCTTCAATTTTATTAACAAATTCCGAGAATGATTTGGTGTTTGTGATCGATGGATGTACTTGATTCCATTCCCTAATGGCAAGTGGAAAAAAAGAATGCTTGAAGGTTTCATTACTATATGAATATTCTGTTAGTATATTGGGATGCTGTTGGCGTGTAGGTCGGGTTTCGGAAAACGAAATGTACTTCGACACGTTTATCTTGAAACTGTTGTGAATTATCTGAAACAAGAATTTTAAGCGGGCTTCTTTCGCCCTTTCTAGCAGCGTTTTTAGATTGGATGCGTTTAAAAGGTAAGTTGGGGAGTCAGTGCGCCTGTACCTGTTGTGAATAAATCTTATCGCTTTTCTTTGCACTGCTTCCAGTTTCCTTATGTTAGTCTTTGTATGCGGGAACCAAACCACGTTGGCATATTCTAAAATCGGTCTTATAAATGTCTTATAGGCAAGCAGCTTTATTGGGGTGGGAGCTAGTTTTAGGCTTCTTTTAAGAAAAAATAACTTACGTAGTGCTGCTGCGGAAACGTTATCTATGTGCTGGGTCCAGTTAAGGTCCGAAGTAAGCGTCACCCCTAAATATTTATGTTGGTTTACTTTAGGTAGCATGGTGCCGTCGACTGCATAGTTGAATATTGAGGGCTGTTTTCTTTTAGTTATTGTGATCACAGCGGATTTTTTTACGTTTATTGACATCTGCCATTGTTTACACCATTCGGATATTGTGTTTAGGGAGGCACTCAGCGCAAGGTGGTCTGTATGGCTATTGATTTCCTGATATATAACACAATCGTCAGCAAAAAGTTTTATGTTAGAGTCGATGTTTGTTGCAATGTCGTTGATATAGATTAAAAATAACAATGGTTCAAGAACTGATCCTTGTGGTACGCCTGATGATACAGAAACGGTTTTCGATGTAGCTTGTTCAAAGAATACGAATTGTTTTCGATTGAGCAAAAAGTCCTTAATCCAACTGGCGAATGAGGTGTTACCTAAGATGGCTTCCAATTTCGCAATTAATTTGTTATGGCAGACACTGTCAAATGCTTTTGAAAAATCTAATAGGACCATATCTGTTTGACTGCGGCGATTGAGGCTATGTGCAAGGTCATGTACAACTTCGGTCAATTGTGTAATAGTTGATAAACCGTTTCGAAATCCATGCTGGTTGGGAGAAAAAAAATGTATTTGTTCAAGGAAAGATGTGATGTGTTTAAAAATAACATGTTCTAGTAGTTTGCACGATGTACTTGTAAGAGATATAGGTCTATAGTTCGATACCAGGACTTTATCTCCGGATTTATGTATTGGTATGACTTTAGCTAATTTCCAGTCAGACGGTAATTTAGCGAGCTGCAAGGATTTCCTAAAAATTATTCCGAGATATTTACTACTCCATTCCGCGTACCTTTTAAGAAATTCGTTCGGAATGTTATCGGGACCACTAGATTTCCTGGGATCAATTTTCAATAAAAGATTCATGACACCGGCATCTGTAATGATTAGGTCATCGATGGTCGTGGTAATGCGCGAACTAATAGAGGGTACATTTTTATTTTCAGCTGTGAATACAGATTGAAAAAAGTTGTTAAATGACTCAGCTTTATCTTGTTTTTCTTTTGCAGATAGTTGTGTCACTGCCCCCTTTACACTGAAATGTTTCCAGAACCTGCGAGGGTTATTTGCAAGGAAACTCGGCAGAGTTACGTTAAAGTAATGATCTTTTGCCGCTTTGGTTTTATCTCGTAGATCAGTCTTAGCGTTCTGCAGTTTTAAAGTTATCGACTGGCTTTGGTTATTTTTTGCTGTTTTACGAAGACGATTCACGCGACGTTTTGAGTGAATAACTTCACGCGTGATCCATGGTTTGACCTCTGCTGTTTTCTAGTTTTTTGGGGAACATACTTATCGATACAAAAAAATATAATTGATTTGAACTTAATCCATAGAGCGTCTATGTCACATGATGCGTCCGACGCGAGTTGTGAAAAGTTGGCAAACTCGTAGTCTAAGTGTGTTAGTATGCTGTTGTCGTCTGCTCTTTGAAAGTCAGCA